AGGTGTGGACCCCCCCCCCCCCCCCACGGAAAAAAATTCCCGGATCTATGCCTGTAACTGAATGTAATGTCGACAACGGGAGATAACTCTTCAGAATGTGAAATTCGTCTATTGTGGCATCGATGATCCACTCTCTACGATCGGCTCATACATTCAGTGTCTGAGAGAGAAACGAACGACAACTCTGCATAGGAGATTGCCGATGATCTTTGATCCTTTTTAAACTTTAACCTAACCATTTGCATTTCGGTTTATTTTACCCCAATCTATACTTAAACTTGTACTTACCGACTGTCATAGGTCCTGTCAACTTCATGAAATATAATCCAATTAAAACACAAAATGAATTAATTTCCACTGATATACATGTAACACTGCACCATGTCACATGGCATGTGCAATCTAAAAATGATAATGGTAAAACTAGTACTAGTACTGGTAGGGTGACGCAAGCCCAATGTGATGTAGAAATTTTCAAAAAGGTGTTCACATACATGTACAGTACAAGAACAAATTTTAAATTATCATAACAAACGATGTTTTAACATAACTTTGCCATCTAGGCCTATTTCCAAAAACAGGCAAATTGTGTGTGTGTGTATTGGGGGGGGGGGGACACATATAAATTGATTGGGTATGGCTTTTCAAGGAGGTTTTTGCCTAATCAAATACAAAAAAAAGTTTGCACATTTTGATAAATTCATCAAAAACGCTTTGTACTAAAATAATATTATTTGTTGTTGAGAAGATAAATTTAAAAAGTTCCAATTATGGGCCAAAAATTTATATCCCCCCTTTTTATTAAAACCTAATTTACAACATTAATTAAATTCTGATATTTCAGACTGGTAATGAATTAAGTATAAGAAATGCGTATAAGAGGTTCATGGGTCACATGGTCACCTGAGCATTTTATGCTCGATTTGACGAATAAATGTACTGTGTAAATTATAGAATTATTTGGACTTTTTCCTTGGTAAGCCCAATATGAAGGAGTGTGCATTTAGAGGCAAACACCTTAGTGCGGGTATTACTGTCTCATGACAGCATCTAGTTTTGTTTTGTTTTTGCTTGCCAAAATTAAATAAATATACATTCACAGACGGCTGGCCAGGTAATATGCCTTTGGGAGTTAGGGGGAAGATAACATGAGAAAACATCATTTGATTGCATTGATTACGCAAGAAATAGCCCAATGTGTAAGATAAATTAACTTGTGAATTATGAAATAATTTAAATCAGGATTGTTTCTTTTAAACCAAAAGTAGAAAAAAAACAGTTGATGAGGAAAAGTGAAAAAGACAGCTGAATTTACCTGAATAAAGTCAACTCACATAGTACCAATATATATATGAGAAATGAGCTTGGAAGTATAAAGTCTTCTATGAGGCAAAAAGTTTTCATTGTAAGAATTTAAAATTTTAACAAGATTAAATATATTTCCTCTGACAGCTCTTAGCAGTACTCTATGTCCGTTTTCTAGTTTATCGTTCAAAATTTATTATTAAAGTAAGAATTACAAGAATTACTCTGGATAAAAGTCATTAATTTCCTTTATAAACATGGATTAAAAAAAAGATGTCCACCTCGAACTTTTTTTTCACAAAAAGAAATTATTAAGATTATTAGTGTGTTTATTATTTTTGATTTAATAATATTTGTTTCAAATTCATAACTAGGGTGTCCCTACCAATGTTGACTTGTATATTATCACGCCACATCTAAACGCCACTTGCACAGCAGTGAGTATATTATTTAGAAAAATTTAGAAAATCAATTGTAAAAATTAAAAAAAAAATTAAAAAAAAATCCCTACCTACCTTCCCTAATTTTTTTTGGAGGTGTAACCGGAACCACACATATTTTTTTTGTTTGGCCTAACATGCTCTCTAAATTGAAGAATATGGTCATATAATTGCAGTCATATGAATTTTGTTCAATGATAAATGCAGACTGAGAGAATTTGCAAAATATATAAAGAAAGTCTTACCGTTGGGAAATAAGCAGGTCCAGTGCAATCTCTTAATTTAGCTAAATAGCTTGAAATAGCTATATAGCTTTATCAAACTTAATTCAAAATAGCTTGATTTAGCTATTTATATGCAGTTTTTCACAAAAATTATTTTTCTAAGAAATAGACAAAAAGACGCATATATTTGACAATTCATATATGTACTATGGGCTATCGAAACAACAAGCAAAATCAAAGGTAGCTCTAACTTTGCAACTTTTGAATACTTTTAAGCAAAAGATAAATCTCTATTGTTTGAGTAACTGTCCACCTTGTGTGCATTGAGACATGGATAAGTATGATTGCTTCTCATTGTACTGAATTATTACCGGGAGGTCAACATTATACCGCTACATTAAGAAAAATTTCAACTCATTACCGCTACATTTTCTCAAATTTTTGGGTGATCATTACCACTACATTTTATGAAAGGAACTAATGCCGACAACAACTAATTACCGCTACATACCGAATCTGCCAGCAATTCCATTCAATATAATTCACTCACTATGTATTGAAGTACAATTTGGATCTGAATTCTAATCAAAATGAGCATATATGAGTCTGTTGTCGATTTAGTGTCACATGAATGTCATGGCTACTATTGAGAAGTTTGTGACAAATCGCAGCAATGCAGGATTAGTTATTAATGGATATAAATTTCGTATAAATAAGACTTTTAAACACTCCAAAGTGTGGAGGTGCAGGGAAACAGGTCTTATGCATGTTTATATATATACATGTATATTGCACTGTACACGCATAGGACGCTGGCTAATGAAAGAGGCAATGTAGCAGTAATGTATACTTTCAAATGTAGCGGTAATGTATCCTTTTTTGTAGCGGTAATGTGCATGTAGCGGTAATGAAAATTTTGAAAATGACGTAGCGGTAATGATATGCACCATTATTACCAATCAATTATCTTGTTGACAATAATGTTGGCCTCCTTTATAATTTCATTGGAGAAGTAACTGTATCAATTGCGTTATGTAGCCCAAAAACTTTTAGAACTTTGAGTACAAAGTCTCTCAAGATTAGATTTTAATGAGTGATTTTTACTTGCATCAATTTCAGATGAGTTTATTATATCATCACTGCACTAAGGTGCGACTTTTTGTGCATGCTGAGAAAATTACACATTTAAGAAAAAAGTGTGATAATATAGCTAAATTAAGTTATTCTGAATAGCTTAATAAACCTTATAGCTAAATAAAGCTATATAGCTAAATCAAGAGATTGTACTGGAACTGATAAGTGCTTTCAAACATTGAATACTTAAAAAACTAAACCCACTGACATGCAACAGCTAAATTTCTGTTGATAAATGTTCGCGTATTCTGAACAAATTATTTACCCAAACAAAGGTGATGCAGTCACAAGATGACGTTCGTACCCATCTGACACTTACACTACTCCTCCTAAATCAGCTGGTAATAACACCATTATCCTCGAATTCAAGAAAAATCTGTTAATAAATTAGTTGGAATGATGATGACAAAACTATTCTAATCAGACATAATATAAGACACTTCTATTTTCCCCAAGAATACACAAAAAACAGGTGACATTTTCTGAATTGTTTACCTGTACTTCGATCGAAATTCTCCTCCTACTTGCCATGCTTGCTCACACCCAAGCTTTTATGACACTCAATTTATCCATCGTAAGTCGGAGAACCCATCCGGCTTTGTACAACTGCTTAAACTTTCCTTATACGCTGTGTGTAAACCATAAACATGTCTCTGATTTAACCCAATACACATCTCCATGTGTGAGGTACCCGGAAGTTAATATTATCGAAAAATCTCGCGAGTCACGTGACGAGACTTACAGACCCTAATGCAGTCCGAATTTGCTTGGTTCCAATGGAAATCTTGAGGAAGGGAGCATTCATTATATATTGTTGTAAGAAATGCAAATAGGTGATATCACCTATTCGAATTGGTGATATCACCTATTCAAATTGATTAGGTGATATCACCAATTCGAATAGGTGATATCACTTATTCGAATAGGTGATATCACCTATTCAGCACGAATAGGTGATATCACCTATTCGAATAAGTGATATCACCTATTCGAATAAGTGATATCACCTATTCGAATAGGTGATATCACCTATTCAATTTGAATGAGTGATATCACATATTCGAATAGGTGATATCACCTATTCGAATAGGTGATATCACTTTTTGGCAGTAAATACCAAAACGGCGCCTCATACGTCTTAGCCAAATTCTCTTTACACGACATGATCAATTCCCAAGTTCCTTGAAGTACACATATGACGTCATCGGTGGTAGATTTTAATCAAAATGACAGATACAGCATAACAAAATAAAAACATTTTATTTTTGTTAATGTTTACACGTTTCTATTCATTTTCTAGAGTTAAATTACATCTCTAAATACGAATATTACGAAAACTTGTATTCTAAAATTGACGTCATCTCGCCTACTATGACATCATAATGTAGCACTGACTAAGTCAAGGTAGAATATTTTGTATCCTTCCTTATTACCCCTGCGAGATAATACAAACAAACTTTCATCAAAAATCTTCGAAATACCAACTTAAGTTATGTTTATATATTGTTTGTTGTTTAACGTCCCTCTATGTTTTTATAAGCAAAATGAATAAGCTTAACTGCTTAGATGGTACCTGAAAGGTACCATCGATTTAAGAAATTATAAAATATAGTCATGTTATATGACAAAATTTTATATTATTCTCCTTCGTCAAATGACACGACAGTACAGGTAAATGAAAACCACAATTCAAAGTAATTAATGCAGAAGTAAAGTACTCAAGTACAATTTTCATAACATTTCTCATAATTTTGACAATATACTAACAAGCACCCATCCTTTAAAAGGAATGCATTCATACTCGTCATGATAGCAATACTAATGATAATGTTTTTTTTTATTTCGTGCATTTTATTTATGTTAGAATAATTGATGATTTGTTTATGTAATATCGTACTTGTAGTAGGTACAATAGGAGTAGTAGTTATAGCCATCATAGTGAGAGGAACAGCCACCTTCAACGTTCTCTGAGAAAAGAAAACACAATACATTACAGTGATCTATTTTTCCTTTCATGTAATATAAGATACATACGTACAATTAAAATAATTCATGCATGTAGTTTTGAATTCTCTTTTAAGTACTATACCATGAGTCTGATAATGTATTTTTTTTAGCTCGCCTTAGCAAATAGCCCCAGAAATTATTTTTCTTGTTAAAAACTTTGTTGTTTTTCTATGTAGTCGTTTTAGATGTTTGGTCACATTTTCAGATTTTGTTCTTCAAAACAAAACCTTGGCCAGGTTCGATCAAATAAAGCACGAGTATATTTTGGCGAACTTGTTTCTCAATTCAATAATATTTAATTCAAATTCAAACCCTACATCAAATTGGAGACCATTAAAAAAACCAAAATTTGCGTTTTCAAAACAACTGGGTCAGACAATACAAACTCATTTTAAAGATTCAACTATGAATAAAGATTAATATTTGTTCAAATCGTGGTCCCGAGAATCGATGGGGTACAATCGTTAGTTGCCTATTTAGAAAAGTATATCGACATTTGTTACTTTCTGAAACTGCTTTTTTACCAGGAAATCTGAACTTTCACTTTTCCCTAACTCTATAATTTTTTTTTCAATTCTACACCACCGTTATCATTTCATTTTTCACGGGGAAGGTTACTGAAACGATCAAAGTAATATAAATTATAAAGGTTAATGATTTTTATCCCCTTATGCAAAAGTTTGTTTTCTGTTTTTATGAATTTGTAAATATAAACATAAAGGGGGTTCATTTGTAATTGATAGCACATTTTCAGAAATAAACAAAACCAGAAAAAATAAATACTGAGACATTAAAATATGAAACTCTACACAATACATCATATACTTACCATAGACTATAAATAAAAGTAAAATACTCCGTTTCAAATTGCTGTTATCCACCATGTTCTGTTTCTTTTGTGAATTTAAATCAAATTCTGTTTGAATATTGGAGTTTTAAATCCTTGCGCTGCGAAATCGACGCTTTACTGATAATTTATAACCTGGCTCTACCTACATAATCTACTTTAATCAAAAACATTCTCCATAAAACCACAGTCCAGAAGATAATTCTTTTTACCAAATTGTGTGTTTAAATGAAATCATTTTAAAAAGTCTGATTGCTTTTTTCTGAGTATCACTAGTTAAATCAATACAATGGCTTGTTATTTACATATATGAAAATGCTTTTAACATTTTATTTTAGTAAGTTTGCCAAAAATATAACATATGGCAATAAGTTTAGCAGTATATAATGTTGTTCTTGTTAAGCTTTTGTCTTACACTTGAATGTATATTTTTTTTAGGATTTTATCCTAACAACACCTTTGTTCTTACCCCCAAAAAGATATATTACAGTTTAGTTAAAAAGTGAGAAAAACTTGACTATAGATTTTCCCCGTAGAATTTTGGTTACAGCCTATGCAGTGTTAAATATAAGCATATTACATCTTGTTTCATTAGCAAGCATTTAACTTCTCAATTACTGCTCTTATGATTGATTTCTCTTTCAAATGCACTCTAATAGCTCAAAACGTATTCATAGAGATCTTTGTAAATTAATGATTGATGTAAAAATAAAACAAAAACAAAACAAAAAACAAAAAAAAAATAAAAAAAAATAAACAAAAAACACAGTTTTGCAAATTGCTTATGAAAATGCGACTAAAGCTTTGATATAATTTTTTTTTTATTATCACGTTTCTAAAGACTTTTATTATTTGATTTTTTTTTTCAGCATCATATAAGAAAGAAAATGTAAAACAGGATACTCGTGTAATTAAAATATTAAATAAAATTACAGAAAAATATTAAATAAATTTACAGAAACAAAGACAGTTAGGAAACAGTGGGTTTTTTTTTCATATACGTTTGCCTATCTTCATGACCCCATGGACTCTCCTGTAACCTCTTAACATGTTTTTCTTCTCTCCACTTAGGAAAACGTTTGAATGAATATTGAAATCCCTTTCATCCCAGAATTCAAATTGTTCGGAGCCATGGCTAATATAATATCGGTGAAAAAGAGAGATAGATGCCAGAGAAGGGGATGTGGATGATATATGCATCCTGTGTTATCAAATGGTAGGATGGTTGCTACTAGGTCGAGAAAATTATAATTATTATATACTTCAATAACACTATCATTTCAATAGCATTCGTTCCTTAAATATAAAGATATAAGGATTAACACACTGTATGTCAATAAATGATTGAAACCATTTATAGTAAATTATTTAGCTCAAATTGATTGATTTTTTAAATTTGAATTTCATTCTTGCGCAAGTGCACCCAGCAGGCATTTCAACATTGATTCAACGTTGAATCAACGTTGCACTTCAACGTTGAATCAACGTTGAATTTTGGTTGCATATGAAAGTTGAGGCAACTTTGAGACATCAACGTTGTTTCAACGTCAATTTTCAACGTTAAATAGACGTTGAAAATGGGTTGAACTTTGGTTGATTTATAGTTGGATTTTGGTTGCAAATGAAAGTTGAGGCAACGTTGAAACTTCAACGTTGTTTCAACGTCAAATATCAACATTAAAAAAGGTTGAACATTGGTTGAAATTAGGTTGACTTTTGGTTGAAATTTTTTGGTTGTACAAATGTTGATATTTGGTTGAAATCACGTTGAAGTCATACTGAGTTTTGCTTTATAAACAAATACATTTCACATTTTAATAAAAGTTTTTATTCAAGTTGCGAAATATGTATGCTGTAATTCAGTACTAAGATTATGAGTAAATTTATTTTAAACTGTATTTTAAAAACAAAGATAAATCCAGGATCCAATCACCGAATCTCAAAAATCACTGTTTAACAAAATTTATCTTCCTTGTGAAAAGGGGGGTCACAGTAATCATATCAGGTTCATCACATCACGCATCTGTCTAAAACTAAGTTCCACAAAGTGGCTGATCCATTGATTTTAAATCACGCGCATTGTTACATGTAAGACCCACAAAATGACTCGTCAGTCGGAAAGAAATGAACAGGAAGCTCCATCCTCTAATGCAAAACCTATTACCAAAAGAAATATGACATGAAAGTCATTTATTTGATAACTTGTTATTTCAAGTGATAAAAATATACATGAATAATAATAATAATAAAAAAAAAAAAAAAAAAACAGACAAAAGTACATGTTCTTATACTTGGAATTAATGAAAAGAATTATATTTGTCCTCGTGTTAAAATTCGTAATTGTAACAGTATTATTATAAATAATTATTACTGAAGAAAAATGTTGAAAACATGGAGGTGTACATACAAAATGCTTCATTCCTTTGTAATTTTTTCGGGCGATGGATCTCATCCAATCAGGGCATCAATTACGTCTCAAAGCCGTCAGTGGATGATGGAACCTTACGGCCAACTGCAATTAAATAGTATACTATGTTTCAATTTTATGTGCAAATGAATATCAACCAAACACATAAATACACGAACTAAGGATGTGCATTTCACCCAGATTAAACAATATTTTATTATGTATAATCATGATAAGGTTGGATAACAGACACTGCCTGTATAAGTCCTCTCCATAATACAAGGTTAATTTCATACATTTATAAGTAAATATTAGTTACATATCATTGAAAAAATAAATATATACATGTACATGTGGATATTCAAAAGAAATTTATAAAAATAAGACAAAATAAATGGTAGAAAATTAATTATGTGAGCTGATGATACAATATGTTTGCAAATTAACGTATATGACTAACAAAAATAATACAGGTATAAATGTGAAAGTTAAAAAGAACACATAAATAGATGCTGGTTCTGTGGTTTGACAATTTAAAAAAAAGAAGAGGAACAATATCATGCAAATCTCTTTGTAGATGTAATAATTTCATGAACAAGTTTAAATACTGAAATATTTTGGTTGAAGGTAAGGTTATTGTTTCCATTCAAAATAAGTTGTCAGGATAAAGGCATTGGTAATTGCGAAGTATTAAAGTTTTGCATGCAGATTACAAATATGCTTACAAAAGAAGAATAAAATGATGTATGGGTACTAGAAAATCTAAAATATCTTCTAATTCCATGAAAAGGAAATTATACTTACTGAGCAGAAGTTGATAATCCAGCCTTAATCCTTGTGCATGGCGTGTAAAATAAATAATATGTGAACAGCAAGAAGACGCGCACTTCTTGTCCATCAGTTGAATTCAAATTTTGACCTAGATAAGCTGCAAACAACTTCTCTGTATCGCTGCCCAGCAAGAAAATTGCATAACAAGGTTATCATGACACTGAAACTGACCAGCTAAGCTAGAACCACTCCTTATCTGATGCCTTGAAGATAAATTTGGGGAGTGGATCTAAGTAATGTAAACTGACCGGGGTTAATTGTTAGTGAGAAAACTGTCAAACCTTTTTGTAACGTGTTTATTTTAAATGTTTTTATATTTTGTGATAAGAAAGATTAAAGTAATTCCCTTACCAAACTGTTCTGTTTGCTGCAGACCTGCAGCAAGTCTGCTGCAAGTTTGCAGCAAACAAAATTGTTCGCAGGAAGAAACTTTTCTTGTTCGCAGATGATTGCCGCTAGCTGCGATCTTGCGGCAAACATTGCAGCAATTGCTGTAAGCTTGCAGCAAATTCGCAGGAACTCAACATGTTTGCAGGAACATTGCAAGAAACATACACGCCAATCTGTTGTTCGCAGCAAGTTCGTAGGAAACATTTAACAAATTGAATGTTTGCAGGAAGTTCGCAAGAACAGTAAACAAGTCAAATCAGCCAATGAAATGCAGATTGTACAGGGGTCAACACAGAATTCGCCATTTTGAAATGTTTGAATTGAAGTGTAGATGTTTCAGTATTTTGTTAGGAATACTTCCCATTTTGAACATGTTGAATGATTACAAAAGCAAAATTCTGAATGTTGGTGTATATTGGCATACAAAACATCTAATTGGTAAGATCTGATTTTGTTTTATTTTGATATGAAACAATTATCTCTTTAAAGCATGTTCAAGTAACATGTAATTGCTAGATCAAATCTTAATCTATTTATGAATTTTAATCTTTATTTTAATATCACAATTGTATGTTTCTTTAAATGTATTAAAGGTTCCAAATCAACTATTATAAATATTTATATGTTTTCAAATAAATTAGTATTAACCGTAAAATTTTATTGTTAAAGGAATGTGCGAAGTTTTTAATTTTCTGTACTTGTCAAAAAAATTATATTTTTTATTAAGAATAGAATGTGAACATTGTCAAGGAACATAAAGATAAAGATAGACTATCAACACTTCAGAAACTAGCTTGCATCATTTCATAAACATGTGGTGGATTTTCTCTATAGTTAACTTCAACAGATTAAGGTCAGGACAAAGGCTTTCTGCGAACTTGCTGCTTGTACGCAGGAATGTGCCAAATACAATAATTATATTCCTTGCCACAAGTTAGCAGCAATGTTTGCTGCAAGCTTGCAGCAATGTTTGCCGCAAGCTTGCAGCAATGATTGCCGCAAGCTTGCAGCAAGGTTTCCATATTTGGAAAATCCAGTGTTTGCTGCAGACTTGCAGCAAACCTCATTTGCATGGTAAAATGTTTGCTGCAAGCTTCCTGCATACTTGCCGCAAACTTGCTGCAAACCCAAAGGCTTTGTATAGGCTGCCATGGTTTACTTAGCTTCATTGCAGCAAGCTTGCAGCAATGTCTGCAGCAAGTTTGCAGCAATGTTTGCTGCAGACTTGCAGCAAATGTTTGCAGGAAGGCAATATTTTTGGTAAGGGAATATAAATAATGCAGTTTCCCTTTTTTTCTTTCATATAAATGCAACAAAAGCACAGTCTAATGTAAATTCAGACTTCTTAGATCCGCTCCGTATACATTCTGCGCAGAGTATACGGCACGGATCTAAGAAGTCTGATTTTA